TACCAAAAAAATACATAGTAATATTATGTATTAGGCATGGAGAATCTTCAAAAACAAAAAAAACCCAAAGTAATTTTCCACAGCTAGATCTTTATCTGGGATATTAAAACTAGCTAAAACTATGTCTATTTCTGAAAAGAAAAAATAGTCCTCTTCTCATTTGACAGTCTTTGTGGACTTGTTTTGATCCGAAACTCCACCATTTAATATTTTTTTTTTCTGAAAGAAAACACAAAACTAATGATATTCATATCAGCATTCAATGCACAGATTTGCGTGGCAGAGAATGTATGAAAATGGGTTTCATCCATCCACTTGTTCATCCAAAACCCTTTCGCCTGTAGAGTAAGAAGTTTTAATAAAAAGTTTGAGACTACTTGAAGCTGTTTCTCAGGCAAAACCCTTCTAATGCTTGCTGGGACCATCCAGACAAAACTGAATGGTAGCTGTGTTTAAAGCATTTGTAAAGCTTTCACTATCTCTGCTTCACCTGCACTTTAACGATCATCAGGTCCCTTGAGGTCAAGAGGGCTGGTTTGATGATAGGTTTGATGCTTCAATTTCAACTTTTCAAAAAACTGTGTAGCAGCACTTTTGACCCATGTCAAGCTTCATGTAAGTCTGGTACTTTAAAAACAGGAAGATGAGCAAAAAGAGAAATGTTCTTGAAATCTTGCTGTTGGCAACCTCACCCCAAATGGGTGAGACAGTGAAGACAAAAAGTACAGTCTACGAGCTGCACAAAAGACAGCGTTACTTCTCTTTCCTAAATTTGCACTTTGCCTCTCATGTCTCATCGTCGCAGCCGCCTGCTCTCAGCGTGGTGTCGGTAGATGATACATGCGGCACAGCATGGTAAGAACAAGAAATAAGCCACCAGGGGAAAATTACTCAAAAACAGTTTGCAAATGAGGTGGCGAATGTAGAGGGTGACTTGGAATGAGCAGTTCACAGGAAAAGGACAGTTCTTTTTTCCTTCTCGGTGCTGTGAAACATTCAAGTGCCAAAGTCCTGGGGGTGTTGAAGGGACTTTCCCAGTAGTAGCACAGAAATTTCACTCACCCTTTACTTCGTCTCTCAGCGACTGCATCCTCCCTCCAACCCTAATCCCCTGGAGCTCCCACCACGAAAACACCTTTGCACAGTTCTTGCCCCCTGTTAGGACGGAGGGTTTTGTCACCCACTCCCACACAGCTAGAACTGCACCCCAAGGAACAGCCCATCCCAGCGCTTCTCCTGCCACCTTTTTGTCCTTTTCCCCTCCACAGAGGAAAACTAGTCAGTACCTGTGGTTACCCAAAGGCTTTGTATTTGACTAATCAAATCTCTTGCAACCAGAGAAGTCAGAACCTTGAATTGTTTAATAAGGCTAAGAAACAATTACTGGCTAATGGCCTAAGATAGCATAAACAAATCCATTAACTGCTGGCTTACAAAATATCCTGGCATCTGTGCATGCCAGTTGTCAGAGGATTTACTTTCTTTCCTTCATCTACAGAAAGAGTAATTCGGACCAGCCTTAGGGCTGGATGATATATTGACCTCTGTCCCTGCCCAGCAGTTTCTATGTGCTAAAGAGAGACTTGGTAACTGCCTCTTCATAATATTCCAGGCAACATGCTTCAAACTGCTTAGCACAGAGGCTGTGGTTGTTGTTGACAAAGGACACAAAAGACATCCCTATTACATGAAAAACACTGTGCAGAAATACAATTTTGGAACTGATGTGGTGGAAAGGGTTTGAAACATCCACACAGATAAACATGGCAGCTGCATATAGTTTCTCTGCTTCCATCAAACATTCCTCCTAAGATCTTCAAGAAAATACAAACAATCCCCCCAGACTGTTTGATGAAAATACTACATTTTCATAAAACATACAATCCCTCTCTTAAATATGCTTACTGCTTTAGACAGTGCTTCCATGAGAGAGGTGGTCTGGCTGCATTTATTTAGAACTGTTCAAGATAAAGGAATAACACCCGTTGATCACGGGGTCTGTTCTGGGTCCAGCCTGGTCTCCTCAGCACTTTTAGGAGAGACCCTCATTCTTCCCAGGCACCAAAGGCAGACCAAGACCCAACTTGCCTGTCAGCACCCCAAAGGAAGGGCTGGATCTCGCTGGGTGCTGCTATCTCCCAAATGCCACCGGTCCACTGAGCCAGGAATAGTGGTCAAGATCTTACTGGGTTGATCTTAAACTGGACAAAGCTGTCTGCTTCTGGGGGGAAGCTGAGTCAATTGCTAACTTCCAGAGCATCTGTGGGAGCCCAGCAGAGATGACAGGGTCACACAGCATTCAGCTGAGCCTGGCTTAGACTTTGCAAGCAGAAAAAATGACTCCTGGCTCACCAGCACTAAACACAGCTATCCTGCAGAATGCTTCTCTCCCACTGATAATGCTGGTCTTACTTTTTATCCTTATTGTAGAATCAAATTTATTTCTGGAAGCTTACTTTGCAGTTCAGTGTGTTTTTAGCAATACTACTTCTAGTTACAATTTAGAGATATTTTCTTTCATTCTGATTAATCTGTTAAATAAATACACAAATATATCAAGTGCTTTCTATAAAAAATACATACACACAACAAATGACCCCTCAAATAATAAAACCAAGATTAATAAAAATATATACTATTTTACACATATGAAATGGCCATCTAGTTTTGAAACTATAACGAAACTTAATTACACATGAATCACATTACATAATCTAAAAAGAATCAGCACATATAAAATAATGGCATTGCCTCCGTAAAGACAACTTGAGCATCTCCATGTTCAACAACATAAAACGAAGCCAACGAGTGCTGTCTGTGCATTTATAGCTACTGAACATGAGATAAATTAGGAAGGAGTTTGTGGATTTCTCCACTAAACATCTGAATAGGGAGATGAATAGCATACCACAGCCTTTTTCTTCTTTTTAGAGAAAAATTTAGCCTTCAAGACAATGAAGTATCTCCTTTTGATTGAGACTTATATTCAATTAGGATTTAAAGACAGCAATAATTCTTATTCTGGATCTCCATACCTAGTGAAATGAGTACATAACAACAGTTTAAACACAGCCTTCAACAGATCATTTTGGTTTATAACGATGAATAGAAGAACTTGCTTAGAAACCTTACAGGAATTAAACAAAAATCAATGCGCAGAGTCAACAGACTTCCCAATACACAGCTCAGTATTAAAACACAGGAAAGGACTGAGAAGTTTGACAGGGGACCACGAGTACTGACAGTGTAAATCACCTTGACCCCAAACAAGCTCCAGCTTATTTGAACACCTCTAGACCATGACCTGTGTGACCGTCCGGAGACGAAATATGCTGACCTACATAAAGTCAGAAAACATCCTGCCTATCCTTTAAAATCACGCCTTGTCTTGGGACCTTTTGCCCAGGCGTAAACTGCGCCTGAGGAGATCTGCCTGCAGATACCAGGGCACTGAGCAACTCAATGAAACCTGTGGGAAACTGCCGGCGGGCTGAGACTAAGAAACACAATTGGCAGTCTTGAGCTTTATGTCCCAGCCAGGATCAGTGCTGGCTGGTGCTACCACTCAGCCCGCTGATTGAATACTCATCCTCCGCACTGCTTCAGGAGGAGAACATAAAACAGCATGCTTCAGCAGAACAGTTTCGACGACATGTGTGGTGGTCAGCAAAGGGGACACATGAAGACCCCACTGCAGGACATTCCCCGTCCCATGACTGACACAGACCACAGATGGTTTTTACTTGCATTTTCTTGAGGCAGCCCAGTTAGAGGTTATTATCCTCCCTCCATTCCAATACACTTTCTTAAAGATGGCACAGACCACTGGTAGCAAATAATTTTCTTTCTGACAATTCATATCAATATAATGCACAGCATCAGAGCTTAATACAAATACTTTACATGACAGACACATGAGGACAAAACAAAGCATGTAACAATGCAGCTGCAGCTACTTTACTCTATTACATGGCTGGGAGAGTTTCCTTTAATTTTCTTTGATCTTTTCTGTAGAATGTGAACTTCTGGTGCCAATTAGCAAGCAATGTTTCTTTTGGTATTTTTAAAAAGCAGAGGGAAAAACGTGGCTGAACTAGAATTCAGAGGAAGTGAGCCAGATCATAGAAAGGCAGCTTTTAAAATTTTTAATTTTAATTTTTTTAATTTTAAAATTTAAAAACCAGCAAACTGGTGTAACATAATAGTTACAGGGAAACAAGTTCTACTAGGCTCGGCATTTTTGAAGTAAAGTGGAGCAGAAGAAGACAGAGACCTATTCTTCAGGAACAAAATACTGTGATTTTCCCTAATGATCTCCAATTGCTTGATTTGTACATGTGTGACAGAGCTGCGGTCATTTGGTTTCATTCTTTATCCTAACTAACAGACTCATTAAAAACATGTACAAACTGTGACCAGTGAAGGAGGGAGGGGGGAGAACAGCGAACACCTCAAAAACTGACGGATAACTGTTCAGATTGTGAGGGTGGTAAAGTACAGAAGTTTATTGTGTATCTGCTTAGGTTTTCATCTCTTTATCCCCCCTCCCAAGAAGACTTGCTGTACGCCCATAGACATTTAAAAATAAAAGAGAAATAAAATTTGTCCTTCTGGGTTTCTCTCATTGCAGACCAAGCCATAAATCATTATAAAATGTCACTTTCTGTTTATACTGGCAGACTCTGAATGCACCTACTGCTCTTCCTGGCTGGAAGGCATTTCTGAAGGATTCTGCTGTTTTAGACACTGTATAGGAGTCCTATTTGGTTTACACTTGATCTTTGCACTTGACATTTGTTCCTCACTGACTCTTGTACCATGGCATGTTTAGTACCTTAAATGCCTGTAAGATGGAGTGGCTGGATGCTTCTGCGGCTCCGCAACGCGAAGACCTTCCATCTGGGGAATAGTGACGTAAACTTGTATCCCTCTTGACACCCAAGACAGAAGGAGCATCCCCAGTGTAGAACTGGGAACTGAAAACATTATGCAACTCTTGGGGGCTAATTATAGAAAGCCAGTGTCAATTTTGTAACTCAGATACCATTTTAAAGTGATTAAAAATGAGTAAAACTTATGTTTAATTATGTTCAAAAGACATCAGTAGCTCAGTGTATCTGTGAATTCCTGTCCAAGTTCCACATGATTTTGATTTCCTTAGCTCTGATCTACTTGGCAGCTCGGTACCATTACACTCCACTCTTCATGTCAAGCTCCTGATGACTTTGTGTTTCATTAATGGTCAGGAATTCGTCACATGCTCCTGTTTGGTCATTTGACTGTTCTTTATGAACCAAGTGCACCATTTCTTGTGATTTGCTGGCATCTCCATTTAAACCACTTGTCTTCCTGTCCTCCACTGCCCCTTTGCCATTGTTAATCACTAGCTTTTTCTTCTGCCCACACCTAGAAAGAAATATAAAGAAAATAAGTACTATAAATGGAGACTAAGAGAAATAAGAAAAAAAAATTGAAAGTCGCTATGTTGGAAAAGGTGCTTGGAAATGAAACCTGTGTCTGCCAGTGCAGAATTACACAATGCAAAGTGTAAAGTTTCTCCACATTGCATATCTTATTTTTGAAAGCATCCACCATTAAATGCATAAAATTTGGCAGGGCCTCACTTTTCCATTTGTACCTATAATTACTACAGATAGGAATAACATTCACTGCTGAAAGGTAGAAATTTTTTTTCTGAAATTTGGATATATCCACATTTATGAACTTTGTATATATTCCACTACAAGGACAGGGTCATTCTAAGTCCAGACTTGGGACCACACCTTTGAAAATGCTCAAGTTCTTGAGATAGGAGAAAATTCGGATCAAGCTCTCACCTCATTCTACAAGAGAACTTTTTCCTTCTTTACATTGGCATGTCAGACCTAGAAGATCACCACTAGCAAGGAAATACAGAAAACTACTTTTGCTATCACCAACAGCATAGCTCCTTGTGATATTAAGGTAGGAAACAACTCTGGTGCTTTTAAAGTTACGCTTACTGCAGTGCTACCCGATCAACGCTGTGTGTAGCTCTGAATAAACACACACACACGTACACTCATTTAAAAGGCCACCAGTCCAAAACTGATGCACGCTGGTAAATGTGGGCCGGGTATTCAGGGCAGTAAAAAAGTCCTAGTTACATAGCTGCCAGATTTGCCCAGACTGTTAGGATGGTTCTCTGGCTACACAGTGCTGAACATCCTGCTTGTCCTCCAACAGCCTTGTGTAAACTCAATGTAAAATGCACAGCTCTCGCAAGAGCGACAATGTCTCTGTGAACTTATACTTTAAAGGGCTTTCTTCTTCAATGAAGCATATTTTGCCTGAACAACTGATTTGGCAGTTCACTTATACTATTATCCTTCTGAAATAACTACTTTTTTCATGCTTACTGACCAATAGATGGGAGTTACTTTATCTGAAGTAGCTCAGTTCACTATGCTAATGTTATACACACCCTTGGGAATGATCCCTGCTCTGCAGCTGTGAAATGCCGAAGGAGGCCAGCAAGGAGCTGTGGAGCCCCCCAGACTCTTGAAAGAGCAGCTCAGAGAGTCTCTCCTGACATGATGGTCAGGCTGGGCAGCATCTTCCGTTGGACCCTGGAAGGAGATCCTCACACTTTTCACAGCAGGCACCAGACAGAGGCAGTCTTCTTTGCAATGAGAGGACTAACTAACTAACCAACTAGGACCACACTGAACCTTGGCCATTTTGGTGCTTGGTTAAGAAAACTTACAACAGCACCAATTTTCTTTTTTTTTTTTTTTTTTTTCTCTAAAAAAAAAAGGAAATCCTATAGCCAAGCACCAAGCAATTTGCTATTTACTGAGAATGCCCAGTTGCTTGTTTGAAATGCTTGACATCTCTGCCACACTAACATCTACACTTCATTCAGCTTTTCCAGATGGCCCAAATGAGACTGAAACTGGAGATGCTGCAGTTAACATTCATTTAGAAAACAGTGTAACTGACAGCATTACACAAGTAAAAATACAGACTGTTCTCATTTTTTAAATAAATTAATGCTTGAAATGTTCTCAATGTACTGCTCAGCTACCACTGAAATGCTCAATTCTCTTTTCTCAGCTTTCCAGTTTTCTCCTGGCACTGCTGCAGTGGTAGTTCCGGGTTAGTTGGCATTCACGTGCTGTGTGCTGACTGCACAGCAATCACCTGTCTATGAATTTTCAGCATATTAGCACTTATCAGAACAGATGAAGAAAGGAGTCTTGACTTATTCGTGTTATCATTTGGATCCTGCTAAAGTGAAAGAAAAAATCTCAATTGTTTCAAGCATACCAGAGTACACCCCTGCTTCAAAAAGTTTTCCTCACAGCAACTAATACGTATTACCAGGGTCTAATCCACGCGTTCGTGCACATACGTGCACCCACCTGGACTTTCTCTTTGTGACTGACTCCCAGCTGCATGGAAGCTCTAAGTAAATTGTATGTTTTCCATTAACAGTATGTGGGGCATAATTTACAGCTCTGAGATGGTTTCATTTCTTGTCAGATGCAAGCTATAATTAGCCACAATGGCCCTGTTTGTCTGTTCCTATGGTGACTCTGGGTTATGAGGGAGGAAACAATGCCAGTCTCTACTTTTAAAGGCATGACAGCGTAACATGTAAATCAACAAGTCATGCCGTTCAGGCTGTGTAACTCCAGAATCACCTCACAGAAAGAAAGCTGAAGAGTTTTCTGTCTCACCGTATGTCTGATTGACAGATTTCTTATTTCAGCAGGTCTCTAACAATGCTGTCAGAAGCACTCTTACTGTGGGAGCAGTCTCAGGGCAAATATGCCAGGTGGCATCTCGCTACTGACTTCAGCAAAACTGTATCAGATCACTCTCTCTGACCATTCGGCATTTAGTTTGCCCTGTTTTGTCTCATAGAAGCCTTCCGCATTATGGGCAGGGACTGCCTGGCTGATCCCTTGCCAGGGTGGCAGTGCTTTACTCTAGCACCCGTGCCATACTTCGAAGAACCCTGACATGACTTCACAGAAGCATTAACATGTGCTTTCCTGCAAACAGCAGACTAGGAATAAATTTGCTCACTGCTTCCTGAACAAAAATCTCCACACATTATATAGTTACTCTAATTAAAAAAAAAAAAAAAAAAATTAAATTCAACATTCAAGTAGAAAATAGTTACTCTGTTAAAAGGTTCAGCTTCAATTTTCAAGTAGCAAAAAGCTGTTTAAGGCAATTGAAAAGTATCTTCAGAACAGTCCTCAGCAAAAAGAAGAAGTTAAGAACATTATAGCCTATCCTTTAGGCTAGAGTTTCTTCAAATTTCCTGGCTAATTTTGCACAAGTCACTGCAACTTTCTATTTCTCAGCCTCTTCATCTCTTAAGTGGGGTAAATAAAGCTATTGAGTGCTCTGATAGCAACGTTAGAATATACCCCTGTGTCTGCCAGCTGATACTGCCTTTTGATTGGAAGGAACAAATTGATCCTGTGACAGCAGTTGTCTGATATAGTGTCCTTCACACTGCATGAACAGCACTGCTAATGGTGGAGGATTATACTCAGCTCATCCTGTGGTTGCTACTGCCCGTGTCCATCTCATGTAGCTTTCCCTCTCAGTGGACAGGGTTTTCTTATTAATAAGTAATAGGCAGAGAACAGTTAATTCTCTGTGGGCAATATATAATCAGTTTCCACCTGCAAGGAAAGATCAAATGGTTTGTACAGCTACCGACTTCACGTGGCTCCACACACACGCAAAGGCTGGCGTGTGAGCTGGGCCCCACTCCCTGAGTCACAGAGCTTCGCGGAGGAAGCTCTTTCCTGTGTTACGCTACTCTGCTCTTTCACGAAGCTTTGAAACCTCTCAATGAAGAAAATAGCAAGGCAGTGTGTTTTGAAGAGGTACCAGGGCCACCTTACCTTCTCCAGCTGTTCACAGCGATGCACACTGCCAGAATCAACGCGAGTGCCACAAGCGCGGCAACGATGATCAGCCATTCTGTGGGGAGAGCCGAGGGACGGGAGGGAGGGGAGGGGAGAGCGTTAGCATGGCTCAGGAAGGCTGGATGTTTTGCAGAACTGCAAGAACATGAGCTCTTTTACACTCTTTGAACTGTCAGACTTTCCTCCTAGCTTGCACAAACTCTTGTTTTACCAAGTGCTTCTGTGCAACCCAAATATGCTTTCGTCACTCAGCTGTCCACAGGCCAACTGAGATGGAACACACCGTCACTGTTAGCACTACAAACACCGTACTTTAGTGGGCATAGAGGAAGAGGAGACGTATCACCGGTTTGCAAAAGCAAAGGCTTAGCAATGACACACTTGCAACCCCAGGCACAAAAGCAGGATGACTTTCAGGTGGAGTGAAATGTTCATTTTTTCATTTAAAAATCTTATTTTAGGGGTATTTTGGGGGCAAACGCTAAGAACAAAATGAACTACAAACCTAGAAGGGATCCTAAGAGGTCTTATCGGCTACATTTCACTCTGGTGAAGCAGGGTCAATAAGAAGATGGCTGACGAATATTCCGTTACTCTTAACATTTTCAGTAAAGGAGATTTCACCACTTTCCCAGTAGCCTATCCTTTATGCTGTTCTGCCACTATAGACAGAGATCCTCTCCTAAGAGCTAACTCCTCTATTTTGTCTCCTTTGTTTAACAAGTCTCCTATGTTCCATTTGAAACAAATCACTTCTTCTAATTAGTTAATCATTATTACTCCACGGTGGAAAACTGATTATTTTTGTACAATACTCTTTTCATATCTCCCTTCAGTTTTCTCTGGAAGTGATGAGTTCTTCAAAAGGTGCTTCAAAGGTTACCTTTCCAAAATTTTCTTTGTGCTCTTCTCCGTTTTTTTAATATGTGATTAATGCAATGCCTTGAACTGAACTCAGAGCTCAAGCTCTGGACTTGCTAGGCCTGAATACAGTGGGATAATTATTTTCTCTGTTTTAAAAATTACTTTACTGTTAATATGTCCCAGAATATATTTGCATTCTTTTGCAATCGTATCATGGTGCTGGCTTCTTTTTATTCCACTTTAACTGGCAAGCCCTATTCTTCAACACTCGGCTCAGCCATGGTTTTCACTGAACATTCTTGTGGATACAACACTTTGCATATGTCTTTACTGAATTTTACCTGATTTCATATCAGTTTATAAAAGTTATTTGGATCTTAATCCCATTCTCCAAATGCATGATTTCTCTCATCTTGATATTGCTGGAAAAGTAGCTGAGTTACAATATGTTCCATTTTTCAGACTACTAGTGAAAATGCTGAATATTATCTGATTCAGAACAAAGCCTGAACAACTGTCCTTGACCTACATTCTAATCTCTTATTTCAGTTCATATCAATACAATTCCATGCTTAAATTGTTAAAACACTTGACTTCAAAAACCTACCTGGCACCTGAGCGAACCTTGGTTGTGAAACTATTTTTGTTGTCGTGGTCTCTCCAGGGAAAGTGGTGGATTCATAATGTCCCTTGCGTGGTCCTTGGTTACCATATATACTGAAGGTAGATCCTAAAGAACAAAGCTATCCGTTAGGTCAAATATGTTTAATGAATATTTAACAGCAAGGTACAAAAACTATGACTTTTACAATTAAAAAACCATATTCTAGGAAGTTCATGCTGAGGTCATTAAAAAGTATTTATGCTGAAAACTATTACATAGACTGTAATCGCCATACTCCTCTGAACTATGGCTAGTTTTAATATTTTGAATAACAAAACTCATGGTCTTCCAGTTTTTGTTTCATTTTTGATCATGCTGTATTTTCATGAATCAAAATGCAATTATAATCGCCTAGAATTTTTCTGGAGAAAACATAAAGACGTGCAAATGTCGGTAACTTTTTGAAGAGGTTTTTGTCATACAAGTCAAATACCTTGTCTGTTCCATAGGGAAAAGAGAGTGAGAAGGGGCGGGGTGGGGGGTGGGGGCGAGAGAGAGAAGAACTGTACTTTTTTATTTAAACCTAAAATGACCAATATGGACAAATTTTGAAACTTTCAATTTTATTCCTACACAGGATAAAACTGCATTTCTAAAACTCTAATGCTTTCATAAAATAGAAGGATGTACATTTGATAGCTACATATAGAGCGGGACTTTAAAAATTCAAAATTTTTTTTCCCAATAGAAAAAGTGTTCTCTGTACACTTAGAGGTCGATCCCCTTTTCAGTAAGGTGTGTAATTTGGTTCTAAGATGGTACTAGACCTTAAATCAAAATGCACGCTTCCAGTCTCAAGTGCCTGCTATGCTCCGGCCATGCTGCCTGAACATGTATGCGTAAACATTCCTGGCCTACGCTGTTGCCATAGGGGTATCCCAAGTCTACAATTATCACCAGACTATAGATATAGTGATTTCATTTGGGACTATTACTTCAGTATCACTACAAAAAAGATATTAACAGATCTCCACCTCTCTGAATTCTTCCAGATGCTAACTGAGCAAATTAAGCACTTACTCTAACCAGCTGTAAAGTTCTTTTTCTTTTCATTGCAACTCTCTCCTAGCCAGCAGTTCTGAGCTCATTTCCTAACAGCAGCTGGCAAATACAAAATGGAGAAGCACATCTTTTCCCTCTGTTAAGCTTATCCAGCAAATAGTTCATGAATCTTCCAGATGTTTTGCTTATTTTTATTAACAGGAAACTTACTGAGCGGTGAGTTGTTTTATGCAATCTCATCAAAAAAGAAAAGAGCACTCATTCAGCAACTAAGGGTGGTCCTGATCGAGGCTCCAAGCAAGGTGAACATACTTACTTGTCTACCCACACCTCAGGAGACCTTTTCTTTAAGGTGCTTTATGTCATCCTTGAGAAATGCCAGAGCTTTTCCACCGCAAAGCCCCTTAAAAAGGCACCGAGGCATTTATTGAAATTTGTGTGCTTAGAGAACTGCTACACCTGCCCCTCCCCTCCCCTGAGCGCTGCCAAGAAGCAGCAGGATACAGCCATGTCCCCTGCCTCTGGGGAGGCACTTGCAAGTGGCAGGAAGGATCCTCAAATCTCACTATGTTTCGTTTGGACGATACACTTGGTGTTTTTCTTTCTGACAGTTATTTTTGCGTTCCTTCAACGGACTGATTTGTCATTCCACAGACACTTGGACAACAGATCAGTCATTAGTGTGGTGTCAGACCACAGCTTAAACATTGCTGGAGAGAAAAAACAAGTGAAAGAAAGTAGTATAGTACATCAAGCCATTAATTTGTTCGGAGAAAGCCTTTAACTATAGTCTGCCAATACTTAAACGAATATTTTCCATTACATGACAGCTATATGGGGCTACATCACAAGTGAAGGAACCCTTCAGTAAGTAAACTTCTAAATTATAATGGTACTGGCCTAGTAATTCCCTTGTATTGTGTTTTTAAAAAGCCTCAAGAGTAGAAAAATGAAAAAAGAAAGAGTTTTGGGAATATGGCCTTATGAGCCTTTGCCAGGGCACCAACAATGCAAAGATTCAATGCAGACATTCGCCTTGAAAATTATCTTCAAACCAGTTCTTATAGGTTTCATGTGCTCAAAACAAAGGTAGCAAACATTTTTTTGTTGTGTGTAATGTCTACACATAAAATTAAGTAGGCAGCATTAATCAATTAAGTGAATAGGGCAGTGAAAGTCAAGAGATGGTTTTGTTGAAGTAGGAAACCATTATTAAAAATAGAATTATCTTTCCAATAAAATTCTATCAATAAGATATTTTGCATTTATATTGCTGTGTCTATATCAAAATACTATCACTCAGGCAATTTTGATAGGGTTGATTTTACTGGGTTTGTATAAAACTCTGAAAAAATAAGTAGGCTAAATTCTACCTGACAATGTATGCATTAACCAATTAATTAATGAGTAACAGAATTATCTTTTGTTTGCTGTATAAATCTGTAAAAATATAGGTACATAATCTTATGTGCAAAGACGGTCCACAGACCACTGGCCAAAATTTACCATGGGATGGTTCCACTAACTTTCAAGAAAGTGCATGAAAATAGTTTTCGGATTAGTGAGAGAAGCAGCATTTGGAAAAAACCTTTTTGTTGGGAGGATTATTTGTATGGAAACTGCATTTTGGAATAAGGAAAAGTCCCTTCATTTCCCATACTATTAGCATGTGACCACACACACAAAAAAAGAAAGGCTGTATGTAGTGCAACAAGTAAACCCTGCTACTGTTAACTTCACTAACACTGTCAGAGGAATAACCCTTTAAAAATCAAGTTGTTGTTCACAAGTGAAATGTCAGTCATAGCCCAGTAACACAGCTATAATTAATCACTGGCAAGATACCAACAGCAAATACACCTAGAAAAGAAGATTTCACAGAAAACTACCTTTTTTTGATACATATTCAACTAATATAGAGGGAATATGGGTGGGGGGAAAAATGACAGACAGTTAAGTGTGACGTGGCTATCATTTGTGCCCAGCAAAAAAGGCAGAAAACTATCACACACGTATGGGCGTGAGGAGAACGTTTACAGCTGTTCATTTTAATAGGTGTGTTCCCACATACAGATAACAGAATATAAGAAAATGTTATTTGTGAAAAAACAACTTTTAGCCTTTTAGAAAATGTCCTCTGCTTTGCACAGGAAGAGATGCCCATTAACGACACTTTATAAGCAGGTTATAAACAATAAGAAAAAAAAACAAAAAGGAAATAATAATATGAAAATAATTTACAATTACGGTTAGTACACACGTTTTTGGATGATCGCCATTGTCCAAAATCATAACTGACTGCTGGATAAATGAAAATGCTCACAACTTGTAGTTCTTACTAGTAGGAAGAGGGGTCTGCAACTGGTTTAGACGATCTTCAATGTCTGGAAAAACACCTGAGTAGTGACAAGTTACAGAAAATGCTCATGATTTGTTGTTCTTACTAGTAGGAAGAGGCGTCTGCAATTGCTTTAGACGATCTTCAATGTCTGGAAAAACACCGGGTATCCAATTGACATGAGAATCCTCTGTGGTGCTTGCTCGCTCACTTCCCTTTCCAGGTGGAGTGCCAGGTGCCAGCGGCTCCTTGGTCGCTTCGTCTCCGTTAACAACATCCATGGACTCTGGGACCGTCATGGCGATGGCACCATCGGCTTTAAAAGTGAGC